CACACGAAGCACCTCCAGCAATTACCCCAGGAGGACATACAACAGCTACAACAAGACTCCATCGTCTTCCCCGTCATCTTCTTCACCGGCTTCGTCAAGCTCAGCTCCGAAAACCACCTCCTCGACATCCTCAACTCCAGCTTCATCTTCATCTTCAGACACCGCCTCACCACCAGCATTTACGACAACGCCGACCTCCCACCCAATACAAAACATCACCAAGACAGGCCTTGCAGATGCCCCTCCAGATCTCGTGCTGGAGCCCGCAAACGTGCCCAATGGCCATGTCGACTGGACTCGCTCATACCACGGACTAAGCGCCGAGCCGTTCTCAAAGGAAGCTGCTGCGATCCTGCTTGCGCCCGTCGATCCAGACGATGTCGAGATCAAGCCTGATGGGATAGTATACTTGCCTGAAATCAAGTACAGGCGTATACTCAACAAGGCGTTTGGGCCAGGCGGGTGGGGTCTTGTACCGCGCAGTGAGAGCATAGTTACAGGCAAGACAGTAACAAGAGAATACGCTCTTGTCGCCCATGGACGGTAGGTCTGACATCCTTCCACTATAATTTACTGGTGATACTGACATCTGCAGGCTTGTATCTGTATCCCGCGGCGAGCAGGACTACTTCAGTCCAGACGGCATACCTACTGCCACGGAAGGGTGCAAGTCCAACGCGATGATGAGATGCTGCAAGGACCTGGGTGTTGCGAGCGAGCTGTGGGATCCTCGCTGGATCCGCAAGTTCAAGGCGAACTATGCAAAGGACGTGTTTGTCGAGCACATGGTGAGCAAGAAGAAGTCGAAGATCTGGATACGCAAGGACGACGAGGTCATGTACCCCTGGAAGAAGACATAAGCGTCTGCTTCCGTAGTGTAGTGTATTATAGTTGTAGCATGTATGCGTGTATAATAGGATAGACAAAACTCATCTACAGATCGCTGGTATTTTTGTGTGTAGATGGCAATGTGCTTGCTCAAGCTGTGAGCAGTATGTACAGCCGTGGATATATGTAAAGGTATATGTACAGTGGTTCATCCATGTATCCAGCCAGCTAAGATCCCAGATAGATGCAGAAATATAGCCGTAGAGGAGATAGACATAAGCATAGACCCGTCCATGTAAGAATCCGGGTA